CTTATTGGTTTATTATTTAGGCTTGACTAGTTCGCTGTATTCTTCTTCAATGTCCTTAATACTTTTATTCAACCACTTAACAGCATTTTTTGGTTTCACATCTAAATATTTAGTGTCTGTGAGACCCCCACATTGACAAAGTATTTCAGTACGTTCAATTAGATCCGAATATTGTTTTTTAACTTTTTATCTTCTGAGATTTTGCCTTCTAAAAGAGATACATCGCGCCTAACATTCAAGACATCTTCTTGGTCAAAAACACTTTCATAAACTTTAAGCAACTTACATAACTCCTTAATTTTATTTAAGAAATCTATTTCATTGAATTTCATTTCAAATATCTTCTTGATATACTTCGCTTATATTTTATAATATATATATATATAGTTATTATTTCTTTAAGTTTTTTCTTCAGAAATTCTTTTCTTAAGACCTATCAACAGGAATTTCAATAACTATTCTGTCCTTATGTTTGCCAAATAGCATAAAATAACCTTCTAAAAACTCATCGTTCATTAGCAACTGATGGGCGTGATTGAATGCAGGGTGTGCGTGGTTAGAAAATGGAAATGGTCCTACCTTATTCCTGAACCTTATTCCTAGCATAGAAATTTTATTAGAGACTACCATTTCCATTTCAAGGGTTAGGGATTTTGGGCTGGGGAATATGGTTTTTCTATGGGGGGGTGCAGGTCTATGGGGTTGAGGTTGGGGTTTTTCTATGTGGTGGTGTATGGTTCTCTTAGTGGTTCCATGGTATGGGTCTTGGTGTGGGTATATTTGGTGAGGTTAGGGTTGAGGTATAGGTTGTTATGGTTTTGGGTCTTCAGGTGGCTCTTTCCTAGGGTTCTACCTATGGGTCTTTCGGTGGGTTTAGGGCTGAGGTATAGGTTGTTATGGTTTTGGGTCTTCAGGTGGGTCTTACTTTGAGGTCTTTCGGTGGGTTTAGGGTTGAGGTATAGGTTGTTATGGTTTTGGGTCTTGGGTGGCCTAGGGGGGTGGGCATGGTTAGAAAATGGAAATGGTAGTTGCTAACTATAATCCCCCCCCCCCCCAACCCTCCGCCTGAGATTGTGCACTCGCGTCCGGCAGGGCAGCTGGCCACGTTGTTGCTGTACGGCCCCGTGACCTCGAGCCTCGACGTCGCCATACTTGGGGGGGTCGAGTTTGGGTTGGAGGTTTAGGGTTTTTAGGGTTTAGGGTTTAGGGTTTAGGGTTTAGGGTTTAGGGTTTAGGGTTTAGGGTTTAGGGTTTAGGGTTTAGGGTTTAGGGTTTAGGGTTTAGGGTTTAGGGTTTAGGGTTTAAAGTCCGACAGTGCAAGCACTGAACCCTGAAACTTGGGATGTTCCCCCTGATTCTAACAGTCCTCAATGGGGATTATAATCCCTACTAAGGACTGTTAGTATAACGGGGAACATCCCAACCTGAAACCCGAAACTCTACACCCCAGAGCCCTAAGCCCCCAAAATCCTGCACCCCTAACGCACCAGAACGCCCCAAAACCCCCTGAACCCTAAACCCTAAACCCCGCAAACTCTGAAACTTCAGACGCAACCCCCGATGTCGACAACCGCACGATCTGGGCTGCCGGGCAAATCCACCGTGACGCGGACGTTGAACGCCTTCTTCGTAGCCCGAAACCTACTACACCCTACACCCTAAAACCCTAAAACCCTAAACCCTAAACCCTGAGCCCCAAACCCTGAAACCCTAAACCCTCAGCCCTAAGCCCTAAACCTATAGACCCGAGACCCTGAACCCAATAGACCCTAGGCCCTTAGGCCCAGCCCTGAACCCTCAACTCCCGCCCCTCTCCCTCATGCACCCCCCTGCCCCCCTTGGCACCTTACGAGGGTACTTCGGGCTTAGGGTTTAGGGTTTAGGGTTTAGGGGTTTAGGGGTTTAGGGGTTTAGGGTTTAGGGTTTAGGGTTTAGGGTTTAGGGTTTAGGGTTTAGGGTTACGTGCTTAAAGCTTTAGGGTCGAAGAGAAGTCCGAACGAACGATCCCGTCTGGGCCCAACTTCGGGTTCAGGGCTGAGAACCCTAAATCCTAAATCCTGAGAACCCTAAACCCTAAACCCTAAACCCTAAACCCTAAACCCTAAACCCTAAACCTGAACCTCAGGGGAGGCATACTCGGACCCCGAAGGATGTACCCTTAAGAGGTTCCCTTCATATACTCCGAATATACGGCCTCGTATATTCGTTTGGGGTTTAGGGTTTAGGGTTTAGGGTTTAGGGTTTAGGGTTTAGGGTTTAGGGTTTAGGGTTTAGGGTTTAGGGTTTAGGGTGTAGGGTGTAGGGTGTAGGGCGTAGGGTGTAGGGTGTAGGGTGTAGGGTTTAGGACCTTTAGAAAGGATCCCCAAACGCAAGGGTACAACCTTAGGGTCCGCGCTAGAGGGCCCCATGATGAAGACTAGGGTTGGTTATCATTTGCGTGAAAATATGTATGTGTGCGTACCCGACAAAAATGGCAGATACATATATATATATATATATATACATATATATATGTGGAAAACTATATATATATATATGTGGAAAACTGTCTTCCCCCTGGTCCGCCACAAACCCCGGTGAACTGTGAGCCCCGCACAACAACTGGCAGTCAAGAAGAGAAGCATTCCGCAACACTAAGCAACGCGCAAAAAAAATCACAAACAAGACACTGAGCAACCCAACAACATACCCTAAAAGGCCCTATACCCCTAAACCCTAGCCCTAAACCCTAAACCCTAAACCCCAACCCCTAAACACTGAACCCTAAACCCTACAGAAGAGTTCGCGCCTCGGGCGCGGAAGTCTGGCAGCCAAAGGGGCGGCTCCCCGAATCGCAGGCCTCGTGTGCTCTTAGGAAGGTTTAGGGTTCAGGGTTTAGGGTTCAGGGTTTAGGGTTTAGGGCTTGCGGTTTAGGGTTTAGGGCTTAGGGGTTCCGGGTTTGGGGGTTCCGGGTTTGGGGGTTTAGGGTTTGGGGTTCAGGGGTTTGGGGTTTAGGGTTTCGGGCTTGCTAGTTTAGGGTTTAGGGCTTTAGGGTTTGGGGTTAGGGTCTGGGGGTTGAGGTTTGGGGCTTAGGGTTTGGGGTTTAGGGCTTTCGGTGCTTGATAGACCTTAACCCCAAACTCTGCATAAATTTGGCTCCTAAACCCTAAACCCCAAACCCTAAACCCTAAACCCTCTGCATCCTCATGCCTCTAAACCGTAAGCGCCTAAACGCTCAACCCTAAACCCTTGCAAACCTATGCCCAAACCTGAAACTCTACCTAATGGCTCTTCCCAAACCCCGAACCCAAAACCCTAAACCCTAAACCCCGGGAATGATGGACTTAGGCACCTTATTCCCCTTTGTAGGAAATTAAGCCAGGGTATCTACGACTCCCTCGAACCCTAGAACCCCTAACCTCTGAAGCCCTAAACCCTGAGCCCGAAGCATCAAACCCAAAGCCCCAAGCCCTAAACCCTAGAACCCTAAACCCTAGAACCCTAACCCCCTACAACCCTTGAACCCTAGAACCCTAAACCCTAGAACCCAAGAACCCTAGAACCCCCAACCTCTGAACCCCCTAACCCTAAACCCTAAACCCTATAAACCCTATGAACCTTATAAACCCTAGAACCCTAGCACCCTAGAGCCCCGACCCTCTGAACCCCCCTAACCCTAAACCCTAAACCCTATAAACCCTAGACCCCCAATCTCTGAACCCCCCTAACCCTAAACCCCAAACCCTAAACCCTAAACCCTAAACCCTAGAGCCCGAATCTCTGAACCAGTTGCAACTCCAAACCCGCAGACCAGCCGCACACATGCGAACAGAGCCGAGGTTGCTGAAGATGACCTTCAAGGGCTTCTAGGGTTTAGGGTTTAGGGTTTAGGGCTTAGGGTTTAGGGTTTAGGGTTTAGGGTTTAGGGTTTGGGGTTTAGGGTTTAGGGTTTAGGGTTTAGGGTTTAGGGTTTAGGGTTTAGGGTTTAGGGTTTAGGGTTTAGGGTTTAGGGTTTAGGGTTTAGGGTTTAGGGTTTAGGGTTTAGGGTTTAGGGTTTAGGGATTGGGTTTTCGGGCTCAGGGTTTAGGGCTTAGGTATCTTAATTCGAATTCAAGGAATGAGGGAATTAGGGTCCACCTTGCAGAGTTCTTTCAGGCATCTAACTCCCTAGTTCCCCACGAGAACCAATTAGCCTTGTTCAAAATAAGGTATGCATACATACATACATACATACATACATACATACATTCATACATACATACGCTGGAAGAACCACATGGCGTTTGGTGCGCCAGGGGCGGCATCTGCACTTCTCCTTGCCACAAGGATATCTTGCACATGTCAGAAGCAGGGCTTAAATGGACACCCGGTACATACACTCACCAATATTAAAAGGAACCTTATATACACTCACCCAACAAAATAATACAAACCCTGTTTCAATGTGCTTCTTACACTGAGAGGCTCCAAGAGACCCATCGCCCGTTTGTCTTCCGCAACTTCCTGAACTGGCTCTGGGACATGTGCTGCTCCATTTTCAAGACTCGCGCTGGCACGCTGTGGCTCAGTTGTCCCAAAGAGAGGGCTGTCCCTCCTGATTGTCTCAGACACAGAGAGACTGTACATCAACGAACTGACTGCGACGATGATCTGAAGTGATCGGCACGAGAGTGTCTTCGTTTGGCATGTTAAACTACCTGGACCGGCACCCAACGAAACAAGCCACAGTAGACATTTAAGGCGAAAGCGCCGTGAAGACTCGCGAAAATGGCCTGAACATGTCGTGTTGCAGCCTACGCTTCACCAAGCAATCTCACAATAAGCGGCTAGCTCTTTCCACACCCTGGGGTCCAGGTACTGCGTAGCATTCGGCACTGGCGTGAGAGTCTTGCTTCGGTGCGCCTGGCGACCCAAGCACACCGAGGCATTCATACCTGCCTTTTGATGGAAAAGCCTGCACAAAGTTCTTGAGGACAGGATGGGAGTGGGTGGGCCAACAGTGTCCGGGCTAGCTACGATGCTCAGGAACTACGAGCCACAGAGTCATCAAGTGGTGCGCACGGCTCAGTCCCCGATGCGACGCTGACCTGCTGCTCCGCCTCGGGTTCTAACCTTTCGTCTTGCCGCGCACATGTCAACAGCAACCTTGGTACCAGCAGCGGCTTCTATATCAAGGGTATCCTTATTGTAACCATTCTATAATAAGGGTACCCTTTTTGGGGTTGGTTACTTGATACGGGAAGCTTGAACCAAGAGAAGGGTAAAGGGTACCACTGGGCTGCCGAGCAACAGGACCACGGCATAGAGCACCAAGCACCCGCCAATGACATGGCACATCACTTGGAAGCTCGCATAGCGACAAATCGACCCCCCTGCATAGGGCCCCAAGATGAAGGCCACCTGGTCTGCTGTATTGGGCAGAATGAGCACTTGTCCCGTGCCGTGGTACTTCTCCTGGCTTCGATCGGCCAACATGGCTGGTGTATTTCCATTCAGAATGCCGGCTGCGGCGCTGGAGCCCACCAGCGTAAGGGCAAGGAAGATGTAGCCGGAGCCGCAACACGCCAGCGCAGCACCACCACCCAGGACCAGTGCTGAAATCTGCAACGTCTGACTTGCTACCACAGACCGAAGCACGGGAACAAGGCCCACACAGACGATTGCCGGAATCGTAGACATCAGCCATGTGAGGTCCTGCTTCACGTGATCGTATCCCAGGCTCGTCATGTACTTGAAAGTTGTGGCAGTCAGTGCACCCTGCAAGGTCAAGCTTAGAAAAAGCGCCACCTAGACTGAACTTGGAACCCCAGCAAAATCAAATATTTTTGCTGTTTTCTTAGGAAGAAGAGTACCCAAAAATTAAAAAACATAGGAAGAAGAGTGCCCAAAAATTTTAAAATAAAAAATATTTCCAGGTACCCCCTAAGCCACAGTCGGCAGTCCGATTTGAGGGTCCAGGACCAGCTCCAGCAGGTCGACCGTCGCCACCTCGGCCGCTGCTTCCGTCTGTTTCTGCCTTGGTAGCCCAGTAAGACATATTATTATTATTACTAATATTACTAATATTATGATTATTATTATTATTTCCTTTTTGTTATGATTATTATATTATGATTATTATACCTTTTTGGGGTTGGCTACTTGACAAAGGGAGCCTTGAACCAAGAAAAGGGGGGAAAAGGGTACCACTGGGCTCTTTCTGCCTTGGCGTCTGTAGCTGCGACAGGTCTGGCAGGCGGAGGCGAAGCGTCAGGCACACACACATCTGGGTTGCAGCGAGGAGGAGGAAGATGAACCGCGAGTCATCAACAAAGGCGCCAGCAAGCCTATACTCCCCTTAGAACCTTGCCAAAACTAGTATTTTTAATATCCTCATGGGTTACCCTAAACCCTAAACCCTAAACCCTAAACCCTAAACCCTAAACCCTAAACCCTAAACCCTAAACCCTAAACCCTAAACCCTAAAATTAAAAAAAAGGACTCCCAAAGGCGCCAGCAAGCTGGGGGCCGGTAATCAGCCCGGCGTAGAGGCCAGACATGGCCATCGACATGGCCCGCGCGCGGGCGGCCGCATCCTTGGCATGCACCTTGGTAGCCCATATTGCGTTTTGGGTTTAGGGTTTTGGGTTTAGGGTTTAGGGTTTAGGGTTTAGGGTTACTTGTATAAGGGACCCCATAACTCAGCTACCAAGGCACCTGGTTGAGAAGAGCAAAGCCGCCCCAGAGGATTCCTGCGGTTGAGCATCCACTGAGGCAGCGCGCTGCCAGCCACAAGCCGTAGTCCTTCTTCAGGGCAAAGCCCAGGCTGCACAGCAGAGCACAGAGCATCCCAAGCTGCATGGACTTCTTCTCGCGCCCATCGATGAACTTGCCGGCGAAGGGCACCAGCAGACAAGTTACGAGATTCTTGGAATTTTGCAGCACCGCAATGAGCTGGTAGTTCGGCGTTACTGTCGGCGCCATGGGATAGAGGGCCGAGGTCATAAAGTGGTCCAAGAAGGCCGCCATGCCCACCAACACGTCCGTGCTGGCGAACTTCAGCGCCAGCAGGAAACACAAAAGCAAGATGCCTCCCACAAGGCGAAAGGCCTTTTGCATCTCAGGCGACTGCCTCGTCAGTATGGGGAATTCAGGGTACATGTCAATCAAAAACCCACTGGGTGCGCTTTCATTGAGTCTGCTTGCGCGTGTCTGCAAGAGCTCTACCGCATTTCTGCCGTCAACCAGTTCACCGCTGTCGCACGCGGAGACCTCCGCACGCGTTGAAGCGCCGGCCGTCAGGCTTGTCGCAACACTAGCGTCACTCATCCTGCATGGGGCAGCACCTGTGCAGATTGCGGTAACCACAGACCCCAGCAGCAGGAGGCCTTGAGAAGACACCATGGCGAGGAGTCGATCTCAAGTCGTCAGGACATATGCCTGAGATTCTCCTTGCCGCTGAGTCGAGCGTACGGTCTATCTGAAACCCGAAGCCTCATGAACTGAACGCCTACATGGTTGAGGGTGGCCCCCTAAACCCTAAACCGTAAACCCTAAACCCTCAACCCTCAAAAGACCCTAAAAACCAAAAAATCTACACCCTGAAACAACCCTAAGCGCTGAATCGTAGGCCGGCTCCGCTGGGGGGGGAAGGGGGGGAGCTCTGAGCCTTTCACACTCTGCGGCTCCACGTGGGTCGTATGGCTGAAGGTTGAACATTCGGGGCTGAGGAGCTGCGGCTGAGGGTTCAGGGTTTAGGGTAGTGGTTTTAGGGTTTAGGGTTTAGGGTTTAGGGTTTAGGGTTTAGGGTTTAGGGTTTAGGGTTTAGGGTTTAGGGTTTAGGGTTTAGGGTTTAGGGTTTAGGTCTTAGGTCTTAGGGTCCGAAGCTTTTGTCTACTTAGTGGGACTACAGTACACAAGCCCCTAGACCGCTGGGCCCCAAACCCTTGAAGCCAAAGTCCCCCCCAACCCAAAACTACCATTTGCTCAAGAACCCCAAAGGAATAAAAAAACAATATTCCCTTTATTCTCCTCAAGAAGGAATGTTGTTTTTATTTTCTGGTAGAAAAACACCGAAACCTTGGGATGTTCCCCCCTTATCCTGACAGCCCTTAATTGGGATAATGGTCGTGGGCTACTATAAGGACTGCTAGTAATCAGTTGAAGGGGGAGCATCCCCAACCCATTGACCCTAAACGCCACGCAAGCCATAATCAGCACTCGCCCAAAGTCCTGCAAACCCAAGGCCGCCCGAGAGCGTCGACCTTTTCAAACAAGAACTGCCCAGGGTTTAGGGTTGAGGGGTTTAGGGTTTAGGGTTTAGGGTTTAGGGTTTAGGGTTTAGGGTTAGGGTTGAGGGCTAACAGGGCTAAGAGGATGAGGGGAAATGAAAAGCACTGAAAAACTCTGTCAACCCTAGAAACCCTGTTATCCTGATGCTTCGAAAAAAAAAAAAAAAAAAAAAAAAAAAAAGGTCCAGAGAACCCCCTAAACCCTAAACCCTAAATTCTAGAGCTGCGCCAACTGCGCCAGTGAAGTTGGTGTTTTTTTGGGTTTTGTCCCGAACTCTTCTCTTTTCTATTGCTTCAATTTACTTCAACCTCTTTTGTATCCATAGGTTGGGGGGTGCATCTGGAAAGAGAGGCATCTGGGTGGAAGGCATGTGGGAAGGCTTCTGGGAGAAGGGGGGCATCTGCGAGGAGGACATCTGGAAAAAGGATATCTGGCAAAAGGGCAAGTGGAAAGAGGACATCTGGAAAGAAAGCATCTGAAAAAAGCATCTGGAAAGGGGGCACCTGAAAAGAGGGTATCTGGGAAGAGGGCATCTGAAAAAAGGGGCATGTGGGAAGGCAGCTGGCAGGAGGGCGTCTGAAGAGAGGGCATCCGGGAGGAGGGCATCTTGTAAGAGGGCAATTGGGAAACAACCATCTGGAAAGAGGGCATCTGAAGAGAGGATATGTGGGAGGGCATCTGGGAGAAAAGCATCTGGAAAGAGGGCATCTGGAAAGAGGGCCTCTGGAAAGAGGGCATCTGGAAAGAGGGCATCTGGAAAGAGGGCATCTTGGAGGAGTGCAAAGAGTAAACAGACGACCCAACAAAAAAAGTGAATGAAAAGAGCGACCAATCAATAAAGGCTCATAACAAAGACGACCAAACAAAAAAGTGTATAAAAAAAAGGCGGCCCAACAAAAAAAGTGATAAACACAAAAGCGACCCAACAAAAATGGTATAAAAAAAGGCGACCCAACCAAAAAGTGCCTTAGGGTTGCATCCTAGGGTCGCCCTTATCAAAAGATGCTTCCTCAAATTCTCTAGGCGCCAACTTCACTGGAGAACCCTAAACCCTAAACCCTAAATCCTAAATCCTAAATCCTAAACCCTAAGCCCTAAACCCTAAACCCTAACCCTAAACCCCTAAAGCCTAAAGCTTCTCTGGCCCCGGCTGTTGCGGGCGGGACGCCGCAGATCATAAGCTCCTGGGCCAGTTTTGCAGTTTTGCGAGGCTTTGGGGCTTAGAGATTTGTAGAGGGTGTAGGGTTTAGGGTTTAGGCTAGGAGTTAGGGTTTAGGGCCACGGGGCACGGGGGCTCATCTCTACGAATTCAGCCTTTAAAAGCTGCGGTCGTAAAAAAGGTTTCGGGACGGAGGTTTTCAGGGTTTCTGGCTGAGGGTTTGAAGTTGAAGTTGAAGTTGAGGATTTTAGGTCCGGGGTTGAGGGTTCACTGTTGCCTACATCCCACACCCCGAACCTTCTGTAAGGCTCCAACCCCACGGCCCATTGCAAATCTTGGCCAGCGGGCGTGCCGCCCCAAACCACGCGGCCGACGGCCTACGCTGATATTCGGCTTGTTGATTGCTCTTGTTGTCTTTCTTTTCCAATCTGCCCGGCAAGCCGCCGCTTCCTTTGAGCTTCTGACAATTGCTCTGGCTCCAAGATCCTGAAAATGCCGAAGTCTGTTTGGGCCATTTGGCGCTCCACATCACGAGCCTGCTCTCCATTGGATAGCCCAAACATCACGCAGCAAAGCCTTCCGCCAGAAAAAACCAGCTCTCGCCGCTCTTCGAGCGCTTTCAGCATGGCTCATCGGCAGCGCTGAGCATTCTTACAGGGGTTTAGGGTTTGGGGTTTGGGGTTTAGGGTAGTAGGCCCAAGAGCAACCTAGGAATACAAAGGGTGCAAATTTTGGGTTTAAAGGGATTCAGAAGGGGAACCTACCACTCGCTGCAAGGGCATCTCGTGGTCGTTGACTCGTGCCTTCTGGTCTGCGATTCGGTGTGTCTGGTCTCTGATTGGTGCCTATGGTCTCTGATTCGTGTTTTTTCCTTTGGGGGTTAGGGTTTCGGCCGGCGAAGCTGTCATCCCTCCCCTACTTATGAACCCCCGTGCATAGCATGTCAGGTTGTAGCACATGGGGAGTACTAATGGAACATCCAGGGGGGGGGTGGGGGGAGGTGGAAAGTGGTGTCTTTTGACGGGGCGGCCCTTTCGAAGGGATGGATGTCAAGGGTCAGGTTATGCACGGGTAAGCCATGAAGCCGAGAAGCCTCCCAAGCCCTGAACCCTAAACTCTACCGAATGTTGGGGGGCCTGAATCATTAGAAAAAGGTTTTGGAAGGGTGATTACAGCATTTTGTAGGGACCATAAGGGAATGCAGAAGGGTTATTACAGCATGTGGTAGGGACCATAAGGGAATGCAATGAGTAACTATCCGAAGACACGAAGCGGTTTAGGCCTTTGGGTTTAGGGTTTTGCGGTTGGTTTTCTAAGGACAGTTGCATGGGCCCTTAATGTGGTCCCTTACCTGCTTTGAAGGGTTCTGTGTATGGGTTCTTGGGGGCATACAAAGGGTATGTACGGGTTCCCCTTTCAAGGGCCCATCCTAAGGGACCATGTAACTACCCGAATAGGTTTTAGGGTTGTCGAATTGGTGTTAAAACAGCAAAGCCTAACACCCTGACACCCTAAACCCTAAACCCTAAACCCTGAACCCTGAACAGCCTGAACCCTGAACCCTAAACCCTAAACCCTAAATCTCTGAACACCCTAATCTCCCCCATGTAAAACAAAGCAGCTGGGGCCGATCCGGTGTTGTTGCCTCGGCTAAGCAAGGAGTTTCCCCGGCAACCGAGGAATCACCCTAAGCCCTAAACCCTAAACCCTGAACTCAAGACCTAGACCGCCTCCCCTACAGTTGGGGGGCGCGCCTAAGCCCCTCGACCTCGATGGCACAAGCCACCCAGGTCTTTCCCCCCAGGACCCCACACCAGGCCTTGGGACCCTGAGACCGCGCCGGGACCCAACCCCAAAGGCACTGTGTGGGTTCCCAGAAATCTGGGAACTCCCCTAGGACCAGCCGAAAACCTGCGACGCCGGTCTGGCTCGCTGAAACTTTGCTGGGTGGACCGACCCTAGCTGCAAGCGACGGAAGACTAAAAGTGGCTTTTGCCGCGGGAGAAAGGTATTAGATGGCCTTCCACGGTCGGGCCAGAGCTGCTCTTCGCGCCTGACAAGGCTTTCGAGCCTCTGATTACAGCAAACGCTAAACCCTAAACCCCTGGTGGTCATATGCGAACCCTAGAAACCTAAATCTGAAGTCCTCGACCCTTAGCCCTCAACCTGTGACTCTGATTGGGTTTTTTGGGAGAAGTCAGCCTTAAACGAAGGGAAAGGGGTAGTACCGGGGGCCTCCTAACCCTAAGCCCAAGGACAAGGCTTAGGTCTCAACCCGACACCCTGAAACACACTTGCTATCCGATGCCTTAGGATCCCCCTCCCTTCCGACACCAGCCCCCCAAGAGTTTTTCTACGGAACCAACCCTTCAGTAGCGAGACGTAGTTGTCCTCCTGTAGGGTTTAGGGTTATAGGTGTTTAGGGTTTAAGGTTTACAGTTCTGGGTTAGGGTATCTACATGGTTCTGTAAGAGAAGTCCCAAACCCCGAACCAGAAGCCCGAAGCCTATAATTGGGGGACCAAAGCGAACTTGTCAACCCTAAACCCTAAACCCTGGAAGCATTGAAGCCCTAACTAGCAATCCTGAAAACCTCAACCGTAGGAGTGGGGAATTTGGTATCTAGGATGGCCCTTTGAAAAACCCTCTGAAGAAGTAAATCTCGTTTAGGGGCTTTTAGGGTTTAGGTATGATCCTCTGCAATCCAATAAGGGAACAGTACCTAGAGGAGAACCGCTTGTGCCGAGGCCCGACGTGCTTGGCTGTTAGGACTTCGGGTTGAGGGCTTGGGGTAGTGTAAGGGCTTAGGGCTTATTGTAGTTTGAGGGTTTAGGGTCTGGTGATTGGAACTAAAGGGTCGTGTATCCCGGATGTATCCCTAGTCAGCGCGAGTTGCAAGGCAGCGCCAACCAATCGGCCCAGGTCGCTGGACTCGCAGAAAGGAAACTTACCCT